AAGACAGCGGTTCCAAGCCATAGCAAAAGCAATTGTGCGCTCAAAGTCTGCACCAGACACTCCAGTTACCGACCCGAGCTGCGACTGACGACCACTGGAGCTTGCATCGTCCTTGTCATTGGGTGTTTTTACTTCGTTGTATAGATCTCCATTCTGATCTAATAAATTTGAATACATTTGAGCTTTGACAGTAAGTGGTTTGATTCCGTCAGCCATCGACACCCGCTCAAAATGGCGCACGGGCATTGTAGATTCTTCCTTCTCTCCCTTTTTCTTTTTCTTCTTTATCTTCTTACCATCGGCTGCTCCATCCTGAATGTTCGGCACAATTTTCTTGTTGAACATGCGAGGAATGGACTTAAATGAGAGTCGCAACACGCGGAAGGAGCGCAGCTCACCGATTCGGAGATTAAATCCAGCAAAAGAGCCGAAAATCACCGACAAGACCGAGTAAAAAATCTGTGCGTCGTACATAAACACAAAGAATGCTGGGATCCAAAGAAACAAAATGTAGATAATGTTGTGGAAGGTCATCTGAAGGATAAACTGGGAGTACGGAAGGTAGTCGTCTTCTTTTGCGTACCAAATGAATAACGTAGTCTCCACGAGAGCTTTGATCATGTATTGGTAGTCAAATGTAAGCTTGCAAGCAAACAGTAGAAGCCAAAAGCAAGTGTATCGACAGTACGCACGCATTGGAACAGGCATCGAGCGACCTACATAGCCCGAGGCGATACGCGAGGAAATCTTATTGAAAAATTCGCATGCAAGAACAAGAGCCAGGCACGCTCCACCTCCGACCATGGCGAGTCCACCCATGTCTGTCCGTTTCGGGTTATCAATATCTCCAGTTTCAAGTGGTTTGCCATCACCAAAAGAAAGTAGTCCACTAATTAGCTCTCCAATCTTTCCGTTTGTAATCAGAGCCTTAATATCCAGCTGGCAAATTTCACAGTTCAGCTTTCCTGGACCAGGCTTTTTGATAATCGACTCAACAGCAGCACGCCAGTTCACCACACACATGCTTTGATCAAATTCACTCGAAGACGAAAATGTAAGTTCATCTTCAGTGACCTTCAATGTCTGGCCAGTTTCCGTAAAACAGTTGTCAATAAGATCCAGATAGCATCCACACCGACCCGTGGTCTTTTCAACACAGTCAGTAAACGGCACAACCTGAAGCAGCGCCTTGAAATCAATGGGAATTGTATCGAAGATGTCACTCGTGTAGGTCATTCCAAGACATGTTGCCAGCATTTGTTGATTGCATGTCGGTCCATCTCCCGAGCTCGACTTGTCCTCAGCTCCATCACCAGATCCCACGCCAGTAACATCTGACGCTGTAAAGTTCTTACCAAAGACAGTAAAACCGCGCGAGTCTCCATTACTCAACTCTGCACCATACAAAATGGCAGTGTCGGGGCAATACATGACCATGTTGAGCGCGAATCCACACACTGCCAGGAAAAGCGCACAATTGAAGCAAAATATTCGACGGAACGAAATAATTGCACGAAGCCATGTGCGCTTTTCGACAAAACTCTTCTTTATGATCTTGGGACGACCCTTTTTATCTACTTCTCCGAAAGCTTCGTGGATCGATGTCGGATTGTACTTAAGACATTTTTTGCTCCAAAAAAACTCATTAAAGTCATCGTAATTTCGAATCTCTGCGTGAGGCGCTCGAGCTCCTTGTGCTGTTTTCTTGTCGTTATCTTTTTTAAATTCATTATACATGGGACGGATAATCTCCACTAAAAAATCGCCTGGGTTCTTGCCCCCACCTCGTGATGAAGCTTGAGGTAGTAACGTATGAAGTAGAAAACAAAGACACTCGGGCATCTGCCGAAAGTTTCCCGCTTCTCCCCAAATCAGAAAAAATAGCACGATATCTACCACTGGATCGCTCGTAAATGCAGGTTTAGTCGACACGTACTTGCACCACTTAATATAGTTAGCAAAGATGCGTGCATGGAAGCGCTTGATTCCCTTGTTAGCCATGTCCAGCTCCTGCTGTCGATCAAGATGGTGGTGGTCCTCACTATTCGAGTTAGGTTCGTCCTCCTGAAGCTTGAAATTCGTCAGCATCAACAAAACATGCTCCTTCTGGTTGTTAACATTTGCTTCTTGGAAGCCAAACGTAGTCTTGAGACTTTGAAAGACATCCCCGACCGCTGATGAGCTATCAACGACACACACAGAGTAACGTTACATTGACACCAAAAACAGAAGATTTAGTAATTTTGTGGCCTTACTTGGTCAAGAGCTCAACAACGGCGTTGTACGTGGCTGGTAACTTATCCATGGGAAGAATGTTGTCCTTAGTATTGTGTCCACGACCTGTGGCGCCAGTAGTCGCACCCTTTTCGCGCTGACTACGTATCATTTTGACGTAGCGATTCATCTTATTATTCAGACGCTGGCTGGCGTCACGCTCCTCTTGCGTCGGGTATTCAATTGCAAGCGCCTGCTCCATGAGTGTCACGGCGCGTGAAAGCTTAGCGTCGGCTCCCGCTGTATTTGGCGGGGACGCATTCTGCATGGCCACACCGGCATTCACAAGCTCCATGGCTTCATCGCAGAGCTTCTTCTGCTGCCGCAGTGGCTTACTGTGTTGCATGGCGTCATCGCTGTCGCCATCACTGGAACGCGCCATGCTACACGGAGTGCGGGGCGTTTACGAATGACTGTGGGAGAAGAAAAGAGAGAGAGTCAGCGAGATTTTACGTCCTGTCTAAGCGCACATACGCCTACCCAGCTGGTGGAGTGGCTAATACAGTATCGCGAATCGCGACTGGAAAGCAATGCAGAGTACGTTGTTTGTCGTGGTTGTCTACTCGCCGTTTTCTCTGGACCTTAGCAGTCGCTTGCGATCTCCCACACTGAGCCAGTCAATACCAACGGACAACCGAAGGCTTTACTTCATCAAAGGGTTACCGAAAGAAATCAGACCTTGAAACAAGCATCTACCTGCAGAAAAACATGTTTTAAACCTACGTCGTGCGGTCAAGGTTCCTATCATAAACCAAGATTAGACCGACTATCCATTGCATACTTTATATGACTGCCTCGATCATTGTATTGTAAAAACCAATACAAATACTATCTCACAAGTGCATCAATTTAGAGCGGCGCCGAATTCCTATTCAGTTTCGACTATCAGGATAGCATTTCCTAAGTGTGAAAAATGGCTATTTCTGTGTACAAAGGCAACACATCGTCCCGACCAGAAGTCGCTTTATGTATATATTCATTTAGAATATCACTATTAGGCTGATCCGCAATCTATGCGCATGTAATTCATTAGAGCAGTTGCTATCTTCTCTGTTGTTTAACATGTTATTCAAGTAAATAGCCTTCAGATTACTACGACAACTTTCTCTGGCAAATGTGTCACGATGGTAAGGCTGGTTAGCATTGCACTAAACTTGCGGTGGGCTTTAGTTTTTTGCATTTTCGGAGGCCGTGACAAGAGCTAGCCAGCATTCTATCGTCACAATTATTAACTTAAGCATTTTAATGATGCATTTGAGTCTGTATACAACGGCGTATGTCAGAATCATAAATCAATCACAACAGTGTCTGATCCTTGATCGTCATCTACGTCAAGAATATGACGCGTCGCTGTCCATGATAAGCTTTATATCCAACGCACTGGTGATCGCTCTATTTTTTTGTCTGAAAACTTTACATTCAGTTTACTGAAACACTTCATGTAACACGTGCTACCTATTTTGCCTTGTACATCTTATTCAAACGCTACGTCTTCAGTGTCTTGTGCGAGTCGACTCGACGCTATCCAATTTTATCACCTATTGAATATATCATCAAGTCATCACGCTGTCAGGCGAGCGCGATTCGCGTATGTTGTTTTGGATTTGATAACAAGTCAAGGTATTAAAGCTCAATTTCTTAACAGTAATTTCAGGAATGTGAAAAATGCTGCTCAAAACGACGTATGAGCGATATAGCTTATACCGACAGAATACTTTTCTCGAAGTATGTGACCGATTTTGCTCCCATGCCCTGTTGAATTACCACTTATCGTGAATTGAAAAACCATGAGACACACACATTGCCTACCGCATTTCGCACGTAGATCGCTATACCCAGAAACTCGTAGGTGTAGGTTTACTTGTTATCATGCTTTGAAAGCTGTGAGGAACAAATGTTGGGTAGAAAAGATCATTATGATCCAGCAAAAAGTCTTGTTTGCCCATCAACAAAAAGAGTGAAACTCGTACACGTTTGACGAAGGAAAAATCTGGAGGCACGTGGGCACACTAACAAAGGGTTTCATAAATGAAGATAGCAAAGCAGATATACTTTGACTCGTGTTAGCTAGACTTAGTCCAAATGGATTACTTTTGATATTAGAGCAAATAATTTAATTTAATTTGAGAGGCTCGGTTCCGTTCCACGAACCCGTCCTACTCGTAGAAAACTTCCTATGTGCGTAGTGCACGTCAATCCCATTGTGATGCTCGTCCTATAGGCATTTGCCATCGTCTTCGAGGGAAAAGTAACCTCTTACGTACCCTGTTATGGTGGGAGGTCACTTTACTCGATTGTCCGTGCGCGGCGTGATGAAATGGGGCTAGTCGCCGGTAAAAGCATTATCGGCTTCTACAGGGTACAAATAGATAAGCCACTTCTGTAACATTAAATAATGCGAACGTACACATGACACTTCTGTATGCTTGCGCAAAATGCAACACTGTGCAATTGTACTGGATTTACATTGATCATTTGTGAAATCTTAAATTTTCAAAGGTACCTGAACAATGAAGAAGTTGGTCTGGAAGACGGCCGAAAATCATTGAAATAGGTCCGTGGTACACGCAAGCTGTTTGCCTTACGTCAAGCGATACAGATTATTTCGTTATCAAATAAAGTTAAATGTTCAAAATTAAACTTAGTTTTGGATAAGCTTGATCAAGATACATAGCCGATCCGACGGTCGAGTCTATGAAAATGGGGAACTCGTTGCTCGATTAGATACTATGCAGCGGCTGCCGAAGCTTTGCGCTTGGAGGAAGCGTAACTTAGATCACCGACCTTTCGTTCTATACTTAGAACAAGGACGAGTTTGGCGGATCGCAATCCGCTTACTCCAAGTGTAATTACAACCTTAGCCCAAGGCTAATTAACTCTTTCGTTCAAAATCCAAAACTGACTTTTATTATTTTTATCTGGGGCAAAGCCGCCTAATTTTACATGTATAGATTTTCCTAAATATATATAGTAACACCTCAGTTAATGCATAACTACTGGCTACCCAGCCACATACCGTATTCTTGTTTGGATGCAGTCACACCATGCCCATCTCGTGTGACAGACACCCCTGTTACCAGGGTACGTGTATCCCCGTAACACTCTCCCTCATTAGGATTGGGAACATTTACAGTTCCAATCGATTGTCGCCTCAACGAGGCTCGCGTGTCCGCTAGACACTGCTACTTGGTTCGATGGAACAAAGCGACTTCCGTGCTCAATGAGCCCAGTGTCAACGACACTGAAGTCGCCAAGTCTCGGGCAGAGCCGAACTTCGTCTCCCACACGCGGTGCAATGTCGGACAGTGCGTCCGCGGCACCGTGGGATGAACATCCTAGGCTCAATGAGCACGAGCGTTGCGCTCCGCGCACGCTATCAGTGACGAGTGACCCCGTTGAGGATGTGGACATGGTCGACTACGAGTCTGACACTCATTTTCCGCATGGGATGACGAGGAAGGCGAGCTGCGCCAGCGGCGTGATACGAGCCCTGCTCGCGCCTTGCGGATCCCATGTCCGTTTCCCGACACCTCGTCACCTGGGGACGTGGTGTAATCACTAATTACCTCGACGGGGTACAGAGGCGGCAGCTGAAAGCTGCTCGTAAGGCGGCTCTGATGCGCGCCCATCCACGGGCCGGTCATTGACCCTAGTGTGGAATTTGGCTCCCGCCCAGCGAATCCCGTTGTGGAAGGAAAGGACGCGGTAACTCGATCGTACGCGTTCACACCATCGGACCCTCGGCCAGAACGGAAGATGAGCTTGCCAAACAGAAAGCTCTTCAAGCTCGTTTCTTGGTTCCACAAGAATTTCCGCTGACAGCTTAGCGCACTCGTCTGAGTGCTCAACGAGGTGGCTCTCGTGTACCCGCAATGCAAACAGTACCTGTAAGTGCTCTTTGAGCGATGGGTGCGACGGCACCGGAAGCTTTTCTCGCCGTATGACTTACCGTTGAACCACAAGGAAGTGGACGTGCGTGTGTAGCGACACCTCCGATTTGAGTGTGCCAAACTCAAGGCACGCCGTCGACTTCCTTCGGATTGTAGCCCTGCGACGTATGGGTCGACCCCTAACGCTCCCGCGAGCTCTGTGTCTGCGACCACAAGAGCTTATTGCCACTGCTTAAGCTCATCTCATAGCCCTTCTACTTCCCTGGCTATTGCCAGGAAGCGCGGGGCATTCTCATCTTTCTGATGAAAAGCGTCCACGGCGTCTAGGCAATCTTGCTGAAGTGGCACCTCAAACTCCCACGAGTTTTCGGAGTCGGGATATCCCCACCACCTCACAAGATATTGGGTC